TTGTACTATAAACCAGTAACATGTTAGATATTCCTTTCACAATCTACACAAATTAATCTTTTCTTGTACTACAAACTTGTAAATATTTGGTGAGTGAACGATAAATGTAATCCATGAATAGTTTTGAGTTTTCCTAACAAACATTAGTTACATGAACGGAAGTCATGCATTCATTACCGTACGTACGTTAATTTCCCATCCACTCATTTTGTCTCTAAACTCTAATTCATCCATAATCCAATAAATTAAACATATCTTTATGTTATTTTCTTTGTTCCGAACTGAAACCGATTTAAGTTTAACATATTTGTCAATATATCACATCATTTCATAGGATTTTTCTTGGGATTTTCTTTTGTTAAGATATTTTCATTGACTTACTCTATAATATACTTAGTAGTGATCGATGATAACGTTACTACTAAAATTTATTGTTAATATACGTTATTTTGCAAATATTTAAGAAAGAACAAAAAAAAGTTAGTTAATCAGCGAAGTTAACTCAATACTTACAAAAATTCTCTTGAGTAAATTGTTGATAGAGAAGGCAAAAATGGGAGGAAAAGAATGGTACTTTTTTAGTCTACGCGACAGGAAGTACCCAACGGGTGTGAGAACAAACAGGGCGACAAATACAGGATATTGGAAAACCACAGGAAAAGACAAAGAGATATTCAATAGCACAACCTCGGAGTTGGTCGGAATGAAGAAGACTTTGGTGTTCTACAGAGGAAGAGCTCCTCGTGGGGAGAAGACTAGCTGGGTCATGCATGAATATCGACTTCACTCTAAGTCTTCCTATAGAACCTCCAAGGTAAACTATACTAACTATTTTCCTTCGATTTTCTTATCGTGTGAGTATTACTGTTGCCTTTATTATAGTTAAACATGTACCATGCATACATATCATGGTCATTTTTTTCTTTTCTTTTTTGAAACTTATATATCATGGTCATGATTCAAACAACTTCGATAATCACAATTTAGTTTTATGGTATGAATTTGATTGGGTATATAATTAAGTAGGTATTAACATATGAGTAATTGATTGTTGCTAATAGGATTAGTTTCTAGTTTCTACCAAATCACAAATTGAACCAAGTTGTTCATGACAATAAGAATATATATATATAAACTCAATAATGCTCATTCCTTTTATGGTGTAATATGTAATGCAGCAAGACGAGTGGGTAGTGTGTAGAGTGTTCAAGAAAACAGAAGCAGCCAAGAAATACATGAGCAATAGTAGCAGCAGCACAAGTCATCATCCCCAAAGCCACACCAGAGGATCAATGCTATCAACCAATAACAATAACCCTAATTACTCATCAGACCTCCTT